TGAAATCTTCATGCTCTTAGTGAGCTCGTTAATATCTCTTCATACATCTTTACCATGCAGAACGTACCATAATTGTTTTTCAATGTATAATTGTTTTGAATAAAGGTGTTCGTTTGATTTCGATCATGCAATAATTTTTTTACAACCTACCTATAAAATTAATTTTCATATGCTGTGCGTGAATTGCTCTCTGCATGTACAAATAAAAAATAAAAAAATTGATATCTTCGCCCACATAATTCTATTACGACAGGAGTAGTTTTTTTTTTTTTGATAAAATACGACAGGAGTAGTTGAAGTTTTGTCATCATGACTAGAATATATACATTTTGAGACCCTACGTTTCTTGATATAAACATAAAATAAAAAGCCATAAAAAGGGTTGTATTTTGGAGATTGAATAAAAACAAATGTGCCATGTGATTTTGCAGGGATTATAAATCCCACTAAGGACATAAGTAAGGGATTATTGCAGCCACACAATAGTCACAAAGGTCAAGAGAAAGGAGAGACGAGAACACATTACAAAGGTGAGCACAAAGCAAAAGACGCAACCAATATCTCTCAAGAAAGGGAGGCTCAGCAATAATGTTCCAGAAACACAAAGTAGCGAAAATAGTATAGGTATGCTTTTTAGGGTAAATAGTGATTGGACCCAAAAATCATAGGTAACTAATAAGTGGGCCAAATACCAAGGCCATCCAAGAAATAATGGGTCGGGCCATGAGTAACTCTAATTAAATTATGCTACTTCAAATGGCTTAAATAGGTTATAGGTTTAGGTCGTTACATATATGGTGTCGATATTTCACTTCAATCATTGGTTGATGCCGACTGAATAAACAATGACTTATCATAGCCTGAGAGGTCGTTTGATAATAATTTGCCGAACAAACCTCCACCAGAAGAGATAGATGAATCTAAACCTCTTATCATATGTCTATTGTGCCATTTATGTGTGTGATTGGCTTTACAGAATAGATAGAGGAATCTAAACCTTTTATCACTTCCCCAATAGTGATATAAATATAATTTTTCCTAATTTCCTTAATAGAGATAATTGTACCTCTAACCAATTTTAAAATCCCATTTCCAACTTTATCAGTGAAGTCAACTTTCTCAAGTCTTCCTACTTCAAATTTTCGAAGCATTCCTTTTGTGATGTCACAGGAAAAGATGCACCAGAATCAAATATGCACTCATACAAACAAAAATTGGCAATTAAATTCAATTCAACAGGATAAGCAAAAGAACTTGTAATCATATAAACCTCACCATCACTACTATTAGAAATAAAAAAAAATAAATTTGCTTCATCTCTGTCCTTACCCTTTAGCTTACCTTTCTCTTTATAGCAATTCTTTATAAAATACCCTATATTCTCACAGCCATAGCATTTCTTAACCTTGTTCCTAGATTTGGATCTAGACCTACCCTTGCCCTTCTTTCTACCTCCATTATTACTTGATTTTTTTTTACTACTCTGATAACCATCATGATTGTTTTGCCTAAATTGAATTCTACCCCTCATCATGTGAATCTCACCACTTTTCTTATCATATTTTTCAGCTCTAATCTCTATCTCTTTACTTATAAAGGAGTCAATGACAATTTCATGCGTCAAAGTGTCCATCTATACTTAATAGCATTCTTAACTTCCTTATAGGTATCAGGTATGATATTCAGCAAGATAATAGCCTTATAGGTGTCAGACACTGGCTTTTTACAGTTAACAATGTCTTGTACAAGTTTGTTAAATACATTTAAATTGTCATCAAGATCTTTCAAAGAATCCATTTTAAAGTTGAAAAAAAGCTCAAGTAAGTAAAGCCTGTTTGGAGTAAATTTGAGCAAATACAAGTCTTCCAACTTTTTCCAAAGTTCTTTAGTGATTTTCAATTTACCCACTTTTTTCAAAACGATGTCAGAAAAGTATAAAATAATTGAAGTATAAGCAAGCTCATCGGCTTCTTCTTTTGGTTCGTTTGAAAAATCAGCAGGAAATTTCCATCAACGGCTTTTGAAACCTTTTGTTGAACCAAAATACCTTTCATTTTTTGTTGCCAGATTGAAAAATCACATTTTCCGTTAAAAGTTCTCAAATCAAAATTGCGAGTTGTCATTTTTTAATAATCAATCAAAAATATAAAATCACAATTAAGCCACACAAAGTAAACTTAGGGTTGCAAACACTATAAACCGTTTTAGATTCTCGGGGTTTCGTAAGATTCTGATCTTAGATCAAGGCGATGTTCAAACGAGTAAGTTATAAATATTCTAGTAACTTAACGGTGCAACAAAAGATATGTCAACCAAACAGTTTCACGCACAATATATCACAGAGATAATATACTGAAGTTTATCAAATAAGCAATTTAGTCGTGTAGCAACTAAAAGGCAAGTAGTTCCTAATTTCTAGCACAGGAAATTGTTACCCTACACGGTAACCCCAATTATATTGTCACCCCACATGATAACATGCTAGTGCTAGAAATTAAACATGATTAATCAATTTACCAGAGAGGACCTATATGAGTCCGTAAATAACGAGAGATGCAAACTTAGGGTCATCACTATTCGCCCTAAAATCTCCAACAACCGTAGCAATCAATCGAATGCAAAAACGTAGCCATCACCATTCGCCCAAAATCGCCCAGATTTTACCGTATCACCTGAAATAGAAAACTAACACCACAAAAGTTAGAAATCTCGTTAAAATAATTCCACTTGAAGAAAACTTTCCAAACAGATCCCGGATGCGCCTCCACGCGCCTTGCTGAAATCTCCACGTGCCGCCGTCGCCAACGATCGTCACCACCACGCACACCAATGCCGGCTGTGCCTCAGCCTGCAGAACCTTCCTATAGTGTTGGATTCTTCAATTGGCCATTGGTTTGGGCGAAAAATGGAATTGCAGGTTCGGGTTTAATGAAAGAAAAATTGGACAAATTTTTGATATGTCTTCCAGCCTGTTTCTGATCGATTTCTCACCGCAGTACAAACATACCATGGCTCTGATACCAAAATGTTGATTGAAAAATGGATCACCAAAGGACTCTAGGCTCAGTATATCATATAGATACCGAAATCAACACCACGAAGTAGCAAAATTCAAACCACAACCCACCCAAAATCGGTTGCTATTTGGCATGCTCTCTAAGGACACAAGTAAGGAGTTATTACAGCCACATAATAGACACAAAGGTTAAGAGAAAGGAGAGACGAGAACACATTACAAAGAAGACCACAAAGCAAAAGACGAATCCAATATCTCTCAAGAAAGGGAGGCTTAGCAATAACATTCCAGAAACACAAAACATCAGAAACATCCTATATATAGTATAGGTAGGCTTTTTAGGGTAAATAGTGATTTGGCCCAAAAATAATAGGTAACTAATAAGTGGGCCAAACCAGAAGCCATCCAAGGAATAACGTGTTGGGCCATGAGTAGCTATAATTAAATTATGTTACTTCAAATGACCCAAATAGGTTGTAGGTTTAAGTCGTTATATTTGTAGTATCGATATTTCACTTCAATCATTGGTCAATGCCGACTGAATAAATAATGACTTAACATCATAGCCTGAGAGGTCGTTTGACAACAATTTGCCTAACAATAATTTATATTTTGATTGCAACAAGTCATTAAAATACTGTGAACAAGGTGAATTTATATAAATAAGTCATTTCTGGAGAAAAAAGGTGACGACTGTCGACTAAGTGTAATTATCAAATAACAAATAATTGTCCAATAAGTAAAAGCGATGAGTCTATGGTTTGAAAATAATTATCATTTGAGAGCCTTTTTTAGGGTCAAAATCTGTTTCGTTGAAGAGTAGTTGAGGATTTGCAAAAGAAAAGGAGGATGGAATTGGAAGTAGTTAGCAGATTATTTATTTGTTAAATGCCAAGGTGTCTTTTTCATACTAGAAAAAAAATTGTGCTTATCTCACCAGGGGGGAAAAAAAAAAGGAAAAAAAATCGAAAAAAATGGCTATGAATATGACTTGCTTACTCAATTGGAAGAGGAGATAATGATAGCAAAAGTGTTCCATTCTCCCATTTGGAATTTGGGATAGGGATAAAGAACATAAAAATGTTCCATTCTCCAATTGGGAAATTGGGGGTAGAGATGAAGAACATAAAAATGTTCCGAAATTGGGGTAGCAAAAAAATGTTCCGAAATTGGGGGTAGGGATGAAGAACATAAAAATGTTCCATTCTCCCATTGGGAAATGGGGATAGAGAGAGAGAACATAAAAATGTTCCATTCTCCAATTAGAACATAACTTTTTACATATTATTTTTTAATTATTGATTTTTCATTTATTATTAAAGATGCAGTCATCAATTCTCCCAAGAGTTCACAATTGCCACGAGGAATACATTTTCATGTTATTTTCTCTATCGGAACCATAAGGCCGTTAAATTTTTTCAACAATATTAATTTTTTTATTTTAACTAACATTGTTTTTTAATTTCTGTGAGAAAGCTACATAGAAGAGAATAATCTATAAATATAACTAATGAAAATATATAATTTTGTGTGGAAAATAGAAGTAAAAAAATTATGTATATAATACAGTAAGAGGACTCAACTGAATGTTAATTTATGAAGTAATAAATGAATGAGAAATAAAAATAATGTTTAATCTAGCTATTATTACATCTAACTATGTCTAATTTGAATTAAGGTAAATGAACGTAATGCTTGACATAGGGCTAGACCGACCACTCATATTGGATGTGGGCTCCGACCTGAATTAAATAATGCCGACCTCTCCATGTGTATGTGTGCTGTGTCATCTCCTATGTCAAGCATTATGCTTATGTAGCAAAGCTCGTATAATTTTATCTTATCAAACGTGTGACTTGAGTTGCAATTTAACATAAGCTGGAAAAGAGATAATGCCTCGGGTACAGAAAGTAGTACTTATTATTGGATACAAAAGTTGGAAACATAAAAAACATGAATGCATAAAAAACATGAAATCAAACAACTAATTCTTAAGAAGAATCTCATTAATCAAATACTCCAAATTCTGGTAAGAAGAGCCACCAGGCTTAACTGCCAATCGAGCCTTCTCTTTCCATTCCAAGGCCTTTTTCCCCATTTCCTTTCCTTTCTCTCCCTCCATCAAAACTTTCACCAATTTTGCCACTTTTTCTCTCGTCACGTCTCCCTCAATTTCTAACCCGATCTCCCACTCGGTGCATGCATATCGACAATTCATTTGTTGTTCAGCGAAAAATGGCCAGCAAATCATCGGCACCCCTTCCGATATGCACTCTATAGTCGAATTCCATCCAGAATGTGTCAAGAACCCTCCAACAGAAGGATGGGCCAAAACTTGTTCTTGATTACACCACTCCACCAAGAGGGCTCTTCCTTCAACTTCTCTCCAGTACTCTTCTGGCAAAATTGCGCTTTCACCACTTACCAAATCCGGCCTAATGATCCATAAAAAGTGCTGATTGCTATTGGCAAGTCCCCATGCAAATTCCAGCAGCTGTTTGGCTGATAAAACTGCAATGCTGCCAAAGTTAACATAAAGAACAGAATTTTGTGGTTTTTGATCAAGCCACTCGATGCAGGATTCGTCTTCTTTCCACAGGCTCGAGCCATTGGATTTGAGTTTAGTATTTTCTATTTCGTGCTCGAGCAATTGAAGTGGACCAATGGTGCAAACACGTTCAAATTTTTCTCGAATGGCCTCAAGAACTTCTTTCTCTAAGTCATCATAAGTATTAATTATCACGGCCTTGGCCCTCGATGCATTCTTGGTTTGCAGAATGTTGTAGTTGACCATAATATCTTTTGGATCAGTTGTTCGAATGAAACTTGGAAAGTCTCTTAGTCGAATCTCTCTCATCCCCGAAACCCAATCCAGCTTTGTATCAAGATAGCCATTGGTTATGCAGCTCTCATCTGCAAATCAAAATTCAAATTAGCCTTGCAAGACTTAATACCGTAAAATATTGCATACTAAACATACCCTGAAAATGTACAGATCTTGATATAATATAGATATCTATACCTTTAAGTGGAAAGTACCCTCTTGTTACAAGTTCAGCATAGTGACAATATGCCATGAATCCACAAGCACTTGTAGTGAAAAACACGACTTCAGGAATATTGAGTTGTTCAGCAGCACCCAAAGTAAAACTCATGACCCCATCAGAAACTATGCAACTAACATTCGGACAATCGGGCGATTCATTAAGGTTGTTGATGAGGTCCAAAAAGAAAGGCAAACAATTATTCTTAACTGAATCACAAAGTGCGGGTATATCTTGTGTAGCATCTCTATCTGAGGAAGGGAGACCATCAGGGATGGTTTTGAACTGGAAATCCTCTAGGCCCTTAACGGAATCTGGTCCCCGGGATCGAACGAGGCGATTGTGGTTGTACTCTGTGTTGACAAAAGTGATGAAGAATCCCTTGTAGTGAAGGAGTTTGGCCAATTTTAGAACTGGGGCTATGTGGCCTTGTGCAGGGTATGGAATTACTACAGCATGAAGCTTCATGGTTATTGAAGTCTTTGATTATCGACTAGTAGAGTTCTATACTCTTTGCAGATGCATACATATTTATAAACCAACCATGACTATTAACCCCATGTTTGAGTCACATTATTCTCCCAAGAATGTATTTTAAATAATATTTTGATGGAAAATATGTGGTTAAAAAATAAGAAAAGTTTTGATTTTGCATGTAATATTATTTTATTGAAGAATGTGTGATTGAAAATAAGAGAGAAAAATGTATTTTAGAAGAATGAGTATCAAACATGGTGTAAATAATATAATAATCAATATTTATATTTTTTATCATTAAATAGTCGGCCAGTGTTCTAAAAGTGGTGTCTAGAGAAGCAAAACACCTTGCTTCGTGTTTTTTTGCGCTTTTTTATCTTTGTAATTTTTTTTACGCCTAGGCATGCCTAGCGTGCGCTTTTCTACGCCTTTCAAAGCTTTTTCATGCTTTTTCTCTTTCAAATATTAAATAAATTTTAAATCGATTAAAATTTTTAAATAATATTAAAATAAGAAAACACTTTTTTACACTTTTTAACGTCTAGACCTCGACCTCCACGTTTCGTCACACTTTACGCTTTTTAGAGCATTGCATGCAGGGGTGAATTCATATTTATTTCCCGCCTTATTATTATTATTATTATTATATAAAAAAAAAATTGGTTCTCGTTTTAGCTTAATTGGTCCATCACATATCGTCAGAAGAGCCAGCAATCATTGTTGAATAAAATATTTATTGAGGGAAAGAGAATTGGAAATTAAATATTTTATCTTATTGGGTGTGTTCAAGTTGTTAATTTAATAGTATTTCATGAAAAACAATACAATTAAGCCGTTATTAATTAATATAGCGTGGATTATAACTTGAACCTTCATGAATTCAATAATTAAAACACCACACCACGAAAGAAATGAAAAGTAATAAAAGTAAATTATTATTAGATCTCCAATTGTTGAAAGCAATAAGCAATTATTGTTGAATTAATGCGTAATTTTCTTGCTTCCCTTTATGCATTCTTCACTACAACCAAAATTCCAACCAGACCAGAGAATTATTCCTTCAACAGCAGGATGTGAGTAGGCCTCCCTCAAAATCTCTTCAAACTGAATAACCTGTCATTAAGAAAACAGATTAGTATGAATTGGGTCGATTTCATTCACTGCTCTGTAAATTTCCATTTGATGTCGAAGTATATATGCAACTCGGACTGGTATTTCAACAAGAGTTCGATGGAAAGTTGAGCCATATGGGCATCTTGGATGGGATGGCCTCCATATCCAAAGGCTTTTCCGGAGTACAATACTCATTGAGAAACATAGTAACCTGGGGATCTATTGCTTGAGCAATCTTGTAAAACATTGCTGAAGCGTTTGGCCCAAGCCTATCTTCATAATAGGAGAAGTGTAAATTCCCATTCATAACATCCCACTGAAGGATATCGCCGGAATATCTGGACATTAAAGATCCCATTCGCCGAACGGCTGCAGCAAGAAGCTCTTGACGGGTCAAGTTTTGTACCCAATCCGCATTCATGTTTGGTTTATCCCAAAGAATGTTGTGGCCACGAATTGAAATCCCATGGTCTTTTAAGAAAGAAATCATGGCATCCAGGACTGTGTAGTTTTCCTGATTTTGAAACTCCTCCGTGTAGTACCATTTCATTTCATTGTTAAATGATGATGCAGTGAACCGGGGAGTAAACGATTCTTGATAATCCTTGATATCTATAAGAGGTTATGCAGTTGCACAACCAAGCAGAAAGAGAGGCCTTGTTTGGTTTATGGTGATTTTTACACCTTGGAGCTTCTTTCCTTCATGGCTATGAACATGGATCCTTATTTTCCTCTTTCGAACCTGCACCAAAATAAGAAACTTATCAAGCAGGGGATATAAAATAACAACATTGGATACAGAGTAATGATCAATCAGTGAATACAAAGGCATACAATTATGTACCGCTTCGATGCTTTTCTTTTGCTGCTCACTCCACTGTTCTTTTGTAAATGGTTTCAAATAAACATTTTCTAACCATAATCCAACACGGGTACAACAGGAGATAGAATAACAAAAGGAAAGGTAATTTCATACCAAAAAATATAAAAAGGAAACGGAGAAGAATTTAAGATGATACACTACCCAATATGTAAGGGATAATTCAAGGAATACCAGAAAATAGAGTTGGGCTTTCATATTTTGATCAACTGTGAATCCTCCTTTAAGCATGGACCAGCAGCCAGATTTAGCTATCACTGAACCAACAATTATACTTTCTTGATCTGGGGTTTTCAGGAATGCTGCTACGGTCTCTTTTCCTTCACTGATCTGTACCCAGGCTGTAAAATAATTTTGAATGATCAATACATTTAGTTATTACAATATAAATGGAAAATTTGTAGTTCATAAATATTTACCAGAAAAAGTATGCAGAAGGTCTTTCTTTATATGAAAGTTTTGCGAGAAACTATCATTTTGGCAGGCTTCTGCTAGTTGCTACTATGAATATGTTCCCATTAGATTTCTCAATTCCAATTTGCCCCTTTCCAAATACAGTCCATCCTTGTAAACCTGAGTCAAATGTAGGGTTTTCCACAATCCCACCGCTATACTGAGGAGCCAAAGGCACAGCCAAGCACTGAAAACACAACAAATTGTAAGACGTATTCATATCAATTAATAGAAAACATGGAAACATAAAATGACTTTTGAATTAATTAATAACAAACCAATTAGAAAGGAAATTTATTTTTCTTACTTCAATGTTAGCAGAGTAATCGTAAGACGAACTTGCACAACCTAAAACAAGAGAAGGGAAGCATGAAATCTGTAGTATCGTAAGAACTAATAAGCTGTAGGAACTCATGCAGACATTTGATTAGTACTAAAACAGATTATGAATTACTTTATTGAATTACAAACCGAATGAAAGGAATTACAGTAAATTGCCAAGCATTCAAGAGCGTAGACTGTGTCCCAATTTGACCACAAATTTTGCATGTTTTGTTATGGTTAGGTTGTTGCCCCGAATTGGTAGTATGTCTTGAAGAAATCTTGAACAGTAAAAGATGGATTTGACAGTTTTTGGACTTCTATTTTAACTCAAATACTCCATTATTGGTTTTAACCATTGTAATAGGATTTCACTGTGTTAGACTTTTCATGTATTAATTCTCCTAGTGTGTTAGAGATTCTTTGATTTTAAATATGTGGTGTACAACACATTAAGATTGACCAATTGTCCAACCTATTAGTTTGGTCTAGAGAGATCATTTTTAATCATCCATTAATGGTTTATAGTGAATTCTCTGTCACTGTCCGTAGTTTTTCCCGTCTTGAATTTTTAAGTAAATCTTATACTCCGTGATTGTTATTTTCATCTCGCACATTATTTCGTTTTTAATATTCATAACAATTAACTCAATTTCTAACAAGTAGTATCAGAGCAAACTAATATCTGCTTTATTACGAACAAATGGTATCAAAGCCAAGGATCGCAGTTCCTGGGAGAGCTAGTTTGATTTCGTATTAGAGTGAAGTTTGATCAACTTAGAATGAGATTTAATTGTTTCAGGATGACAAGTATGAAGTTTGATATTCTGCTTTTCGATTGCAACACCGAATTTTTGTTATGGTAGATTTTTGTTTAGACGTTGAAGGAAAAACAACATAATGATCGAATTTTGATAAACGGACAGAGAAGGTCCCAAATATATATTTTGGAAGGTTCGACAATCACGTTTGATTCAGTTGTCACTAAATAAATAAATAAAAGAAATATTAGACCTCAAGATAGGTTCGATGAGGCTAACTTGGTTGATAAGGTTTGATAAAAATTGACTCAAATGGAGTTGGTTGTGATTGGTTGATCGTGGTGATAATTCGAGCAAATTTGGTATTGAAGAATTGTTACTAGCTTATGTAGAGTTAGTTATGATCTTGATAATTTTGTTGCTCGTTGTGACAATTTGAGCAAATTTGGTACTCAAGGTAATCCCGCAGATAAACAGTGTTTGATTCAGTCGGCAGTTGTTGAGTTTGTCCTAGTTGGGCTTTGTGGAGGAAGTTGAGTAATTTAGTGGAGTTTTTTGTTTGGAGAATTTTGTTGGAGTTGGGGAGTTAAAAGTTTTATTCTTTGAAGTAGAATTCGCGTCGAGGTACAGATTTGTTAAAGTCCGATCTTGATCCAAATTGTATTGGGAGTTGGGAGTATGTCTTAAATAAGTCTTGAAAAAGTCAAAGATATATTTGACAATTTTTGGATTCATATTTTAACTCAAATACTCCACTATTGATTTTACCCATCATAATAGGACTTAGTCTTGTGTTAGACTTTTAATGTTTTATTTCTCCTAGTGTTGGAGATTTTTTTAATTATAATTTGTGGTGTATGATACATATTGGGATTGATGAATTGTCCAATCTATTAGTTTGGTCAAGAGAAATCCTTTGTAAGCATTCTCTATTGGATTATAGTGAATTTTCCGGCTCGATTTTTTCCGTCTTGGATTTTCAAGTAAATCTCGTGTTCTTGTAATTGTTATTTTCATCTTGCACATTATCTCATATTTAATATTCATAACAATTGATTCAATTGAGTTTTAGTGTATCCATGACTTATTGATAAAAAGTTTGTAGGTATTGGACTTTTAATGAAAAAGGTTATTCAGACATTCACACGTTGAACATAATAAAATTAATTACTTTTAAGATGGAGTGATTTGTATTAATGAAATTGTCCAAGAAATTTAATGGCATTGATTGAAGCTTCTTAAAAATAATTGAAGTTATACAAATAAGTTGTTCCATGAATTATAGCAATACACGAGGTAGGTGAGATAAAACCACGTGCAATTTCGATACGAGTTGAGATCTATTGTCCAAAATTAACTGTTCAACTTGCTGTCTACTCAATGATTCGTGATACAACTTTAAATTAACATGTCCAAATTTACTCTCACTGACACTTGTGCTTAAAAATAGATGTAAAATAATGTGTCAATGAATCATTGAATGGATACCAAGTTGGACAGTCAATTTTGAACAACATATCTCAATTCGTTTCGATGCACCTGGCTTTTAATTTGTTTTTTGCTATCCTCAATTACCGGGGAATGATAATAAATAATTAGAATAGCATTTCTCAATTAAATAGGTTCAATTAAAGAGTATCAGCTTAAGTAGCTACATTTTATGGGTCAATTAAATGAATCATATAACTTTGTGTTTAAATAAATTTATCTTTTAATATTATGTAATTATCACGGAAATGGATATACTTAAAACTCTAGCGGTGATAAATAGCAATAGTGTAAGGTAAAGGGAATAATTTTATTGTGATTCACTGGCCCTCTTCTTTTGAGAAACCAAAAGAAGCTGAAAATTGACCATTCCCAACATAATATAGTATCCACAATTGGCCAATCCAATTATCCAAAACTGCACATTGACTCACTTCCACACCATACACCTACCTACGCCAACTGTGTATTCAGACAGAAGGTGGTAGGTCGTCTATACACGAGAATCAATGTCCAAATTCTACTCTATCCAATTGCAAAAAGTAAAATAACTCAATAATATAAGACAGATTTTTGCTTACAAGAAGGATATAAAAATGGGATTTCAGGGAAACAAACAGAAGGCAAGAACTTTGATGGCACAATAATGAAAAGAAGATGTTGGTTACTTTGTTTAATAAGACTGTTTAACACTGCATATCACTAGTGGTTGTTGAGAAGAGTGTCAAGGATTACTTTCTCTAAGTTCTGGTAGGAAGAGCCAACAGGTTTAGCTGCCAACTGAGCCTTTTCTTTCCATTCCAATGACTTCATTCTCATTTCCTCTCCCCCTCCATCATCCCTTTCACCATTTTCTCCACTTTCCCCATGGTAACATTGTAACGATCCGATCTCGCCCCAGAACCGTTATCATATCATATGTACTGTTGTAAAATAAAAAAGATACTAGAATAGCTCTGATACCAATTGTTGTGAAACAAACTGTTGGATTGAAATGTTGAAATTATATGACAAATAATAATGAAATATATGATCAAGTAAAAGAATAATAAAGACAATAATATGAGAGAGGAACTAAGAGTTTTAATTGATTCAAAAAAATGGAGAAGAGAGAAAAATTACAATAAATCATATAATTTTAGTAATATATTTTCTCAAATCATAAAATTGTATAGAAGAAAATAATATTTATAGGAAACATGTAGGGGATTTCCAAACTCTCCTAGTATAGTTGTTGATGAAGTAGGATATCAAAAAATCGAGTCCAAAACAAATTATAACTCCTAATAGGCTTCCAAAATAAAACTTCAATTTGACATAGGACTCCAATAGCATTCCAACTGAATTCTTCTTGATGTTCACTTCAATTAGAATTCTTCAATTACTTCAACAAGGAATTTGAGTCACACCCAAATTCTAATAATCTCCACATTGACACGAATTCCACCAATGAATGATCGAGCTTCTTCAACAATAATCAAAAAATTAATTTCTCTAACAAAAAACAATACTTCACCTCTTTCAATGAATTCAGGTACTACTCTACAGAATTACCTCAGATTTTCAAAAAAATCATAATAATTTTAAATTAATCAAAATGGGATGTAACACACCCCAAAGTAGAATCAAGCCCAAATGTTTTTAGAGAAGACCAATTGCTAGATTGTACACATTCTACTCCACTTAAAGCATGCTCAATAAAATTAGCATCCACATACCCTTTTCCATTGGGCCCATCCCTAACAATTGAATACAAAGGCACATTACGTAATGGTGGCAAAGCGGCATTATCCATATCTCCTGAACTCCACTAAACCGTATTCTTCAAATCTGACCCTTTATGAGCTCTTAAAGGTATTGTGCCAAACTGAATGTCCATCACGGTCCTGAATTTGTACTGATTGACTCTTCTAAATTCTGCACGACCCTGCAAGATGTATAACTGAAATCTTTTCTATCACTCAAATACAACTTGGGCACCTTTATAAACTTTCAAAGCTCCACCTCCACCTCTACCACCACCAAAGAGCTCATAACCTTTTGAATTAAGGATAGACAACGAGATGAGATTTTTCTTCAAATTTGAAATATATCGAACATGGTCAAGTGTTCTAATTGTTCCATCTAAAAGCTTCAATCTGACTATACTAATTCCAGCAACTCGACAAGATGCATTGTTTCCCATAACCACGACACCTTTGAAAACAGTTTCATATGTAGCAAACAAGTCCTTATTAGGACACATATGAAACACACATGCTAAATTAAGAATTTAATCATCTTCCGATTTAGATTCAATGTCAGAAATAGCTAAAACTTCCCCATCACTTACAATGTTCTTCGCGAGGTCTACTTTGCTTGAAGTATCTGAATATCTACATTCATCCATCAGTTCTTTATTCTCCAATTTGTAGTAATCATTCTTTAAGTGCCCCCTGCTTCTTGCAGTAGTTACTTTAGAAATAGCTAAGAGTTCCCCATCACTTACAACGTTCTCCGCGATGTCTGCTTCGCCTGAAGTATCTGAATATCTACTTGCAGCCATCCTTTCTTTATTCTGCAATTTGTAGCAATCCTTCTTTAAGTGCCCCTTCTTCTTGTAGTAGTTACAAATTTGATTACTGAACTTAGATTCAATATGCCCCTTCCAGAAGCACCATGAACAACTAGGCATTCTCCATCTTTAGCCTCAGAAATCAGATGATTCATCTTCTCTTTTGAATACCAAGCATCATACACTTCCTCTATGGTGAGAGTATCACGACTATATAAGATCGTGTCTCTAAATGAAGAAAATGAAGTGGACAACGAGCACAATAGGATCAATGCCAAATCTTCTTCATCATACTCTACTTCCAAAGTTTCAAAATCAGTGATGATCTCCTTAAATACAGCCAGGTAATCTTCCAATTATCCTCTTTTTGCCATTCGATGAGAGTATACACACTGTTTGAGGTTCAACTTGCTTGTTAGACTTTTAGTCATGCACAATTACTTCAATCTCAACCATAAAGCAGCAGCTGAATTCTTCTTCAAAACATCCTGAAGAATAGTATTTGATAGATGAAGATGAATGTGAGAAATTACCTTCTTATCCTTCCGTAATTTTTCCTCTGTTATCAAAGTTGAGGGCATCTTGTCAATTTCTAGCAACGCATCATCCAAATCCAATTGTGCAAGTACTGAACGCATCTTAACCTGCCATAGAGAAAATCTAATGCTCCGATCTAAAAATGGAATGTCATACTTCATGGAAGCCATCACGAATAAAATTTTTTGAACAAATCAAACCTTGCGCTCTTGCGGAACTGCTGCACCTGGCGCTCTGATACCAATTGTTGTAAAACAAACCAACGAATTGAAATGTTGAAGTTATATGGCAAATAATAATAAAATATATGATCAAGCAAAAGAATAATAAAAACAAGAATATGACAAAGGAATTAAGAGATTTTATTGACTCAAAAATAATGGAGAAGAGAGAAAAATTACAATAGATCCTATAATTTTAGTAATCTAATTTATCACACCATAAAATTGTATAGAAGAGCCTAATATTTACAAGAAACATATAGGGGATGTCCAAACTCTACTAGTAGAGTTGTTGATGAAGTAAGATACCAAACAATCGAGTCCAAAACAAATTACAACTCCTAATAGACTTCCAAATAAAACTTCAACTTGACATAGGATTCCATAGCATTCCCAGCTGAATTCTTCAATTACTTCAACAAGAAATTTGAGTCACACCCAAATTCTAACACTTACTTTCCGCTTTAGGAGAGTGTGACCCATCTTACCCCCTCACAACTTTCGACGCGTCACCCAGATTTCGAACCCAAGACCTCCATCATATGGGATACTTAAGTTGTACGTTTTTTTGTAATAATCCAACCTTGCACCGGAGTCGTATGGAGGTCTTGGGTTCGAATCCTGGGAGACGCATCAAAAAGCGTGAAGGGGTAAGATGGGCCTAGGCTCTCCCAAAATGGACCGTATCTATGATATGATGATGGCTCCAATGTGAGGTATGGTCGTTAGTTTTCTAACGCATTCCCCATTATTTGAACCCAAGACCTCCATCATATGGGAGACTTAATGACATGACCTGTCCTGAATCCCCCTATGGATTCGAAATGTGACGTGCGCCAATGGTAGATGTTGACTAGGTGTTAGATTCACCACCAAGGCTGATTATAAGTTACTACAATATCTGCGCCAAAACCAAATATTTTATGTAGAATATAATGCAATGGGCCCAAAATAATTTTTTCATGCTCTACCAAAACAAATCACATCGTGTGGCTGCAACTCTGAAATCATCAGGCTCCTCAAGCTATCCACAATCAATACCACCTGTAAAGAAAGTTTGTCGAAAAATATATGAGCTGATAGCCCAGTGAGTAGAAAATTTCCAAAATAATTATATTTTACTTTTATGGAAAACCAAGTGAAAATCATTTGACAGTTCACATTATAACAACATACAATAGTAATCAAGACGTGAGACACCTCATAATGTTGAAAAATATCATCTCGCAGACATGATAATATCATCAATGTAAACTCAAAATATTTTCATTTGAAACTTTTATTTTTATTTGGGCCCTTGACACACATACTAGGTACCGGATAGAACTCTGCATAACGTCAACATCAGTAACCAATAATCAATCAGACATAGTCGAGTGGCCCACCATCCTGTGATTATCAGAGGTACATCACCTCACAGCCTCCATAATCATCCAAGAAGAATCCCACCTGAAATGCCAGTAATCACAATATCAAAATCGAGTGGACCATTCTTCTGTGATCACCAGAGGTACATCCCCTGACAGCCTCGATGATCACCCATGACATGTCCCACCCGAGATGCTAACAATCACCATATCACACAACACACGCAAGTGGTCAATCATCCCGTGATCACCAAAGGCACATCCCCTAACTACCATCGTGATCACCAGAGAAGTCTCATATTTCAATTCACAAATAATTCATACACAATCTTTAAAATTCCACACCAATCATAATAAAGGAATATTTTCACTTTAATCATGTAATTGGACAAATAATTCACATAATTGCATAAAATGTATAATAATATAATTACTTATCAATACTTGAAAAATATT